ATATATATGTTGATGAAACCAAGCACGCTCTTGGTTTTCGTTACAAAACTTCTCACTGTCGTTCGTTCGTCTTTCGTACCAACGACAAATTTGTCACAGCCATCTGCATATTCTAATGCCATTCGAAGTCAACTATAATCTGCGTCCGGTTCCCCAGCTGGTTTTCGTTACAAAACTTCTCACTGTCAGTCGTTCGTCTTTCGTACCAACGACAAATTTGTCACAGCCATCTGCATATTCTAATGCCATTCGAAGTCAACTATAATCTGCGGCCCTCCGGTTCCCCAGGGTGTGTATCATAGCCGGTCGAAGATTGTAACAGGCATGGACACGGTTGTTGGTCCAATCAAAAGCCAATCTGGCGCACAGCACGCTTGCCTCGTTGACTAGACCTGATGAAAAGCGATTGGGCGGAAAACAGTTGAAGACCTAAAGAAAGCCCCGTACTAGAAAAATAACTTCGAAACCTGTCCACAGAATGAACCAAAGCTAGTTGGGATGTACTCTCCTGTCTATTTTATATTCCAGTTTCAGGCTAAGAAGTTTTGTCTTCTCAAGGGATTTCAGTCTCATTTAAGCCAGTAAAAATTTAGAATGCAGATCCTGTGCCCTGCTCGGAGGTTCTGTTTCCTTTGAAGGAGTGATCAGCTTAGCTACGCACGGCTTTGCAACCATGTGAAAAAACGTTCAGCCGTAACAACCTCAGGCTGTGTAGCTGCCGTGCAACTCCAAAGAAGTACAAGGGCCTAGATACTGTCAGGCACACTAAGCCTAGACAGAAAATATCGAAAAGTCAGAGTTGAAATCGAACACCGGACCCTCCGGTTAGTAGTTTCACGCTGACCTTTCTCAATTCCGTAAACAAATGAAGCCTATCCATAGACTACCGAAAAACGATCATTTGTGTAGAAAAACAATGTAGCCAAGTATGGTAGGTAAATCGCTTGTGCAATACAAGTAGCGTAGACCAAGTAGCGATCAACCGCGCGAAACACTTGGAAGGACATCAGAGTTACTAGTGCAATCAGCTGTGAAAGGTACGAGTCACATGACATCAGATGGCGTGCATCAATAATGACCTATTTATGGATATTGGTCCGCAATTTTGACGGTCGATATTTGTGGTAGATCGACTAACTCGTCCACTTCGAGGACGATATTTAGTTAGGGAAAAGAGATGAATTGTCACTTAGGGAAACAGGAATACAGTGAACGGTGCTGGGGAAACTGAGACCCAACAAACGACTCAAGCAAACGAGGAAGCACGTAATTGTGGGCAGTGCGTGTTGCAGCAAACATGTGCATTTCTATCATTTCTGAAAGCGGGACGATGAAGCTAGCACACCTATTGCAAAACAAGTAAGCCTCCCCTCAGTTTCTCAAGCCCGCAGATCAACCCAGAAAAACCGAGAATGGATAAAGTGAGGGAAGCGACTTGGTCTGAACAGCTGTCGAGTCGATTCGCTTGAGAAATCTGCGCGACAGAAATATAAGCAACAATTGGTAGAGAACGGACAGATGCATACCACTGAAAATCTCCCGTATAAACTAATCGCTGATCGGTCGACCAAAACGAACAACTGGCGCATTGGTGCACCTGAATAAAAGCCATCTGGTCTCAACAAGGCCGAAACATTTGGTTTTTCGCCCCGTAAATAGGAATAGCCACCCAAGTTCAGTACTAGGGGCGTCGCAACTTACGACTTTCCGTTGCTTCCACTCCACCCCATTTGGTCGTTCTGGAACCGAGACGATTGGCAAGAAACATAAGTTTCGAATCCTCCACATGCTCGTTTGGTTCGAAATCAATCAATCGAACCCGACCACTGCGTCTCGACTTGCCCTGTCTAAGTTTGGACAACATGGCTGTATGCCGGCCCTCGTGCTTCCCTCGGCTGGCATGACATCACCGAAAAGGTGTTACAACTGAACGATTTATTTCTATTTATTTCTGATTCAGGTTCATCAGGTAGGTGCAAGTCCAAACCTTACGTTCTACCCGGAACCAGATCGCCCAACTACAGTTATTTGCACACCAATTAGGAGACTCATCTGAATCCTAGCTGAATCTCTCGTCTACAATGTCCTTCGGCTAAATATGCTGTACAAAGACCGCCTTATGTTTCATTTCATTTGACATTAGAGATATCGTAAAAGAAATGTGATAAACGAGAGAATCAGCTGGAGTTCAAATGAGTCTCCCGAGAAAACAAACTTAGTGTGCAAATTAGTCTCCCATGAAAGCTAACGTAGTATGCAAATGAGTGTAGTTCGCGAATATTCTAAGTCCTCTTTCAAGTTTGATCCATTTGTTTTTTAATGAAATGCCCGCAACCGAAACTGAAGGTCAGTTGGTCCGTGTGTTTCCGTTTAGGTTGCTCCAAATTAGCGCACATCACAAATGACACACTGACGAATACCGCTTGCTGTGTAAGTTGGCCGATAAATGTCCCGTCGATGTCACATGTGTGCCGGGGCACCCAAATCATATCTGTCGGGTTCTCCCTAGAATGCCCTAATAGACTGAGACATCAATGGAGTTGTTCGGTTTCGGAACAACACGGTAAAACTGTGAAATATCTCGGGTTGCTGTCGTGGCTAGTGTCTCGATGTAATTGCTCCCGAGCGACTACACCGGTAATGGCCAGTTGGTTTTCGAAGCATAAACAACCGGTAGGGAAATGCCAGGTTCAGATCAGTACCAGCGTGGCATAGCAAACAGTGCACGTAGTCGGGCCGTAATGTGCGGGAGACCGTGAAGGTAGGCTAGGAATGGGAGTGATATTTGGATGGTCGAATAGATAGGCCCCCTTGATTCAATCCCCGGATGTTAGTTGTGATTGGCTCGAACAAATGGTAGTATAAGTTCGTTGTGTCTTACCTGACACGTGGGATGTTACGTGGCAGACATCGACTGCATGGTCTAATAAACATTGGGTATTTACTGCTGCTTTCTCTGGAGAAAAAGAAACAATAACCCGTGTTTCTCCCGAAAAGTTCATTTTCCACGATTTTCCCCGTCGGTTTCCACTTTCCGTCAAATTCCAGAAAACGCATGTCTCTGGTTAACAGCTACGTAGTGTTGCATCAGGTAGCACTTGATAAAAGTAGGGCGTACGGCTGAGTGTACTGGTTTACGAACCAGGTCAGCTGTAACACCCTTTCGGTGCCTAGCTGCCATGCCACCCAGGGGAAGCACGAGGCTTGGGATACTGCCAGGTTGCCTAAGCCTAGACAGGAAAAGTCGAGATGCACAGGTTGAGTCCGAAACACGGACCTTCCGGTCAGCAAATTCGCGCTCTAACCACTGAGCCATCTCACCCCAAAGCCAATCTATGCTGAAAGCCTGACGGAATAGTGAGGCACGTCTCTGTTAGCGGAACACATTGGGTGCGATGTATTAGGCATGAAATAAAATCTAGAGTCCGACAACCGAAAAACATCTTCATACTAGCGATACCTGATAGTTTGAACAAATATGTGCATGGTTAGGAATGTAACGGTGAAATACTTAGTCCCGAACAAAAAGTACAGTACCGTTAGTGAATGACTACGGCTAGCAGGAGACATTCAAGTTCGAAAAAGATTTACGTAACGCAAAAGTAAAATCGCAAACTCCGGAGACAGTAGAGATTGATAACTCCGGTCCTACCTCCGACCTATTGTTTCTGTCTACATTTGATACAGATGCTAGAATTTTGTCCTCGCGTTACCTACAGGTTGTATGGCAACTAGGCACTCAGAGAGTATGGTTAGACCCGCTGTTTACAAAACGGTAAAAAGAAACGGATATACAAGTTCGTATCGGCAGAACTTGCTGATTCCCGTTCAAATCCCTCTCGATCGGTACAGGAGTTCGACCGATGGCGAACCGAGAGTAGACGAACATCACTTTATCACGAGTTTTAGACTCAGTCACCATGCAGCTGGTAAGGGGGCTGAAATAACAGCGTATGTATAGAGAATCCTATTTTCGAGGTAACTCTTATGGACGGTGAAAGTGCATCTGCGTCGAAAGATTTCCCTTCAGATGTCAACCACGAACACGGTGACACACGGAACATGGAAATTTAGCCTGCACTCCATGGCGTTCTATTGAATAAGACCGTGGCTTATCAGTCCAATGACTTAGGCTCGATCCCACATCGGCACTTGGAGATAGGTAGCCACTTCCGTACAAACGTTATCTCAAAAAGATAAACTGAGAAATTTATATGCGGAATAGAATCTGTATGATAAAACGTGTACTTGAAGGACAGGAACATAAATGCAACAAATACAGATCCAATAAGCCGAAGTGAAAGATTTTGCCCAACTCAGCTAACCGAGGGCAATAGACAATGTCATTAACGGGTGAGAGTTAGTTTACCGACTACCCGGTTGAACCAGCAAGGTCTAAGGGGAGAGGCGGTAGCATTGAATGATGGGTCTATCGGGCACATATAGGGCAGTCCCCTTCGTCCTTGGTCATCAGTTCGCACAAAAACCGCATCTATGACTCCGATTAGTTGTCCATGTACAGTCACACTACGGCATACTAATTCGACAGACGAACTAAACTGGGTTAGGGTAGCCGACTGCACTTAACATTCAGTCAGGCCCATGGGCAAACACGTGAGGAAAGCTCCAGTGGATAGGATTACCTGAATCCAACGGCCGTGAAGGCAGTCTCGTTTTGAACAGCTCTGGTTTAAGACATACCATGGACTAGAGACGGAGCACTGCTGTGGACACTAAGCATATTACATCGCCATGAAAACTAATGGGCCCGAATCCGTCTCCTGTAGGTCAGGCACAGTAAAGGCGAAACTAGTATAGTTGTGAATGTCGCGGGAAGTATAGAATTCGCATTCATATCATTCTCGCTCGAAAAGCCCCAACTGTGTCCTGGCGCAATTATTCTGGTGACTCCATACCAAAGAGACAAAGCACTCGAGTAAAGGAATATATCTCCTATTGGAGCTCATCAGCGGTGCACACCTTTCGAACCCGAAACACCTGTCTACGACTATTCAATCGGCGTATACTAGGCACACCTGAATTAGCACCTAGGCGTGCTTACGCTTGAGCGATGCGACCGATTTGCTCAACACCGAAACAATTGTACAAGGACAGGAGGAAGACTATTCAAATGAGTGATGTGAACTGAGAAACCTGTAGAGCAGGTTAGATGCAGAACTAGCTACAACCACCGCGAAATCTTACCGCCTGAAGTGAAAAGACAGTCAGCTGGACTTAACCGAGATGCCAGATAAAAATAGGAACAACTGATGTTAGAAACGCAGTAGGTCCGAGGAATTCTACGTGGTGTTCAGTTCCAGACAGCCATGAGGCAATGTACGCAATTTTGGCAGCAACAGAAACAGTAAATCTACTGATGAGGTTGTAAAACAGATAGATAGCCTTTCAACGTGGTGTGGAGAAAGGCCCAAAAAGCATGAAAAAAGGGAGCTGAACAAAAACAGCAAATTGCGACTTACCATGAGGTACAACGCCATTTTTTTCGGGTAGAAATGCCAAAGCATGAAGGATTATCGGTTAGGACCGGAGGGATGTCGAACATGACAGGCCAGACGAGGACTGTTAGATCCAGGATCGGAATGACTCTGTACCACTGCAGCACTGCTGGGTTGAGGAGTAACCGAGGACAAATGACCCTGATCATTTATGCACAAATTAACTATTCCACTGTTTGGCATAGAATTCAAAGTCGGAGGTGGTTGTTGCGGTAGTTGCGGGTGTGATGGGGGCATAGAAAAAGAGTTCACACCAGGAATATACACAGCGGGAAGAGGGCTGGCAATCGTAGCACCAAGTGGCTGCGATGCGTGAACAAAATAAGGTGTTTGTTGCACCAGAGGTGCATAGGCTGACAGAGGAATAGGGGGAGTAGAAAAACCTGGGCTACTATCACGACCAAGCTCACCATGTCTTCGATCATGTGGACTATGGGTAAGACCACCAGCACTGAGGGCATGGGCAGACATCACAGACGATGAACCGGGCACGTGACGCGGAGATGACTGACCCGCTGCCAAGATTTGAGGAGAGAGAATACGAACGGGAAAATAGAAACCATTCGGAGTTCCCGATACGACATTTGGGGAATGCTTCAGTACAGCTGATGATATGGAAGTGGATGAGTTGTACTCTCCAGTAGTTGTCTGTCTGTTTGGATTCACAACAAGCGATGTCGCCAACGGCGAGAAAATCGATTGACCAGGTGGGAAATTTTTCTCACCCTCCAATTTAGAATTAGTAGGTTCCCCGAAGGAGATATTATGCTCTGCAGGCACTGTGCCATCGTCGGATATGTCGGAATAGGCTGGGCTGGGGGCAGGAGGTTCATCACTCAGACCCGGTGAGTGGGAAAGTTTCGAAGGCCCATTGCTAGAATCTGGAATGGAAACAACGCGGTCCAATCTGGGAGGAGCTAAGTTTTCATCGAACCGGTCATCCATCGTGGATTTAGTGTCATTATTTTGAACCCTGAGACATTCTGCTCGAGCTAAGGGAGGTGGAGAAGAATGACCTGACTGATTATAAAACTTGTAAGATGGTTGATCACTCGTAGATGTTTCCATCGAGTCCGGCTTGGGGTATTCATTGGATATAGATGCTGATGGGGTGTTGGACGCATCCGGTTGATCTTGATTACTGTGTCCCAAAGAAAAGTGGTAACGCATACTTATTAAGTCTGGAAAGTCACTTTTGCATCCTGGAAATGGACACGTGAAATGGACCGCCGAATCGTCAAACTCCGTGGGTACCTTATCCACATTAAACAGTACGTCATTCAAGGACGAACCTCTGGCCAAACGTGGAGACATACTATTAGAAGGATCTTCATCTCGATTGTTCAATCTAGAGGCAACACGACGATATGGTCGACTGAAACCAGCTCCTCGCCGGCGTCGGCGTTTGGATCCTCGCTGACTGTTCCCAGCTGGAGTAGTTGCTTCACCAGTACTGAGATCCATATCGTAAATGGCAAACCTTGAGTGTCCAGTGGAAATGCCACTTTGGGAAGTTTCGGAAATTTCCAAAGTTCCTTCAACAGAATTGGGATTCGGTGCAGCAGAATCAGAATTTGGATAACAAGCTGCTGCTGCCGCTGCCGCGGCAGCGGCTGCCCGTGTTGTCATGGAAGCCCCAGCTCCGTGATGTCGATGGTGTCGGCCATGACGGTGATGATGAAGATGGTGAAAGTGATGCACTCCACGATTTCTGAACCGGCCAGAGGATCCACGCGACCAACCACGTTGTCCTCGAAGGAGAGTCAGCGCACTGGTAACACCACTGTCCAAACTGAAGTTAAGGAAACAACAAGAATCTTTAGTTTTGGTCAAGTCCCATTCCACAAACCACAAGCAACCAGTGTCATTTATCAATCGTCAAGTAATGGGAAAGGATACGTTGTGAAGCTGGATTTCTAATGGCATTTTACCTAGCATACTATGTACTATTCAATTGAATTTATCAGTTATCAGCCGTGTGCCACAGGCACACTGGTTCCAGCTGCTACAGTTTCGATCACCCGAAAACGGAAAAGTGGAACATACAACAAAGTCTTGAAGGTGAAGGCATGTTCATTTTGTTCGGAAATCGGGTAGCTACGAACTGAAGGCAATAGCTTTGATGCACGAAAGCCACTGACTACGCGATTGGGCCATTTCCACCAATGTCACTAACCACTGGTGAATTGAGTCCCGGGGTCCCCATCCAAGGAGGCGGCAGTTGCCTACCCGACTAAGTTTACTGGTGTTTTCGTACTTCGCTCCCAGGTCCACCTCTCGGTCGCTTTCACTCAAAACAGGGCTAGGAGAAAAGAGCTCTGTGAGGCAAACGGTCTTCGGGCATGCGGAGTACATGTCCCAAATAGCGCAACCTATGGAGCGTGAGTAATTCACCTATCGCGGGAGAGTTCCTTCTTCCTAAGAACATCTGGCATACCTCAGTATTACTAATCCAATGTTACCACCAGACCTGACCAAAGCCTCGGAGTCACGGATGATCAAACATTGACATCCCCCGTATGTCCTCTGCGATAAGGGCCACGTCCCCGATCCATAAAGCAGTGTGGATCGCACCACCGCAGTGTAGACTCTTCCCTTGACAGACCAACTCACGTCACGTGGGCGGCACAGTTGTAGGAGGTTGGTAAAAGCTGCCCTGGTCTTTCAGATGCGAGGAATAATCTCAACTCCAGTCAGTCCACCGGAACTTATACAGCTTCCCAGGTAAACAAATTTATCTACCACGTCGATTGGCTTACCTACAAGCATGAGGTGTGAGTTTGACACCACCCACCCTCGCAGCAGCACTTCACACTTTACAGGTATGATGCACATAGACTAACACACTGAAACTAGATGATCAACTGATGAAGAGTCGAGTAAAAGGTATTTCGCTCAAAAGCACAAGACAAATGAAGGTAAGTTGCAACATGTACGAATCAAACACGGAACATACTCACCATGACGGCGCGAAGCTGTGCTTTGAAGCATCCAGTAAGGTACCCATATAAGACCGTCCCCGCCACTGAATGTTGAGAACCAGCATACCTTTTCGAGAGACAAGAAGAGGTGACTTATTGGTAAGAGCACATCGCTTGTAAGCAAATGCGATTTTTTTGAAACGACTATCAAAAGAGATTGAAGAAGATTACCATAAGTGAGAGGTTCAGCTGAATTCGTTTGAGTATCCAGTCAAAACTAAATTCATGCGCAAATGAGAGGATATGACAAGATGCCTGTGATTGTGGAATCGACTCTGGTGTTGGCAGTTTGGGATTAACAGTCCGGGGGCGTGATTGAGATACGCTGAAAGGTTAATAATAGTCGTTCAGCTGTAACACCCTTTCGGTGCCTAGTTGCCATGCCGTCCGAAAGAAATACGAGAGCTGAGATAGTGCTATGTCGCCCAAGCCTAGCAGGAGTCGAGATGTAGAGGTTGGGTTCAAACCACGAACCTCCAGGTTAGTAAGATCGCGCCTCAACCACTGAGCTATCCCGAGCTCAGGTCAAAAAGTTATGGTGCAACATCCCCAGTCGTTACAAGATGCAGTCAACCAAAGTTACTTAAAGCGTTACTGACCAATCGAAAAAGTCGCTCATTCTGATTCTAGTAATCTAACGACCGTACGAAATAACCTCCATCTGACTTATATATTCTCCTCAAATGCGCCGCACCGATTCTTTCAAGCAGCTGACTGGTGAATAGCTCCTTATCACTTTCAACCTGTAGACAGGTCGGATTACAACGGCTACTCTGGGATCTCGCTGACAGACCCATTCCAGAGATTCTGTGAAATCGGATTGGTGATCGTCAGTCGTGGAAGTTCTGTTGTTGGCATGAGGGTTTCCGAAACCAAGTGGCTGGTGTTTTATCTGATAGAACAGAAGTCCAGTATGCTTGAACTCGTTGAAGGTCGAGAGATGGTCGAGTGGTACCTGCACAATATTCGGTTTACTGGTGACAATTGAAGGTATTCGAAGGCGTTCAGTACTCACACAATGGAACTGAATTTCCGAAAGCTATGGACTAATGCAATCGGGCAATTGAGTTCAGAGCACCAGTCCAAACTTTTGAGCCCCCTTCTAGGTATCCCGGGGTCTCAGCGATGCCGGGAAATTATTCCACCAGACTTTTCCGCCAGAAGTATGGTTGCTTCGGTGGACAATGAAATCTGGTGAGCTGCAAAAATATGAATGTAGATTAGGATGGTTTTCGGTTTGAGCGTATACGCAACAAAATGCAACACTTTGGCGCAAAAGTTTCACTCCATTTGTAGAGGCTTTGCAGATAAGAGCATTGTGCGGCCAATGGGCCCCGTATTCTAACTAACACTTTTCGACGCTTTAAGGCGCGTGATACCCTTGACAAGTCACAGAATTTCGGATTGTTGCTTTTTCAATGCAAAAGCACATATGCTGTTTGGAGCCATCCATCCCAGTTGGCTACATGGCCAGTTGATCGGCTTTCTACAAGCACTATCATCAGGACAGCTCTTAAATAACAGTACGCGAAGATGCATTGACATCACTTTCCCTGTACACAAAATGAATCAGACTACTAGGAGTGAACCAATCATCGCTCTCGAAAAAAAGCAGGTTGTTGGTTCACAACGGGCTGGTCATCACAGTAAATAAACAAAGCGATAGACTGAACCAGTTCCACTGCCTTCGTGCAGACTGAAAATCTCATTCGATGATGGGGGACGTATCGATTGCAGGCTACTGGCAGACACAACAGCCAGACAAGACCACCGTACGGTGAAGGCCAGGGCAGACTGGCTATTGATACAAATGGAAAAAAGCGTGACTATGACCAAGATTATCGTCCATTTTAGTAACTTGTTCAAGCGTGTACGGAACAGCGAGAGTTTAAGCTGGGTGCACACCAAATGGCAACAGACAGTCCTAGAGAAGGTATGGTTGCTCAGATGTGCCGCAATGTTCACAACACTCTCGACCAAAATACTAATGTTGTGACAGCACTAGATGTATCCAGCAGGTTTCACCCACCCAAGAACTCGATCATTCGGTCATGCCCCTGAGATGACGAAAGCAGTAAAAGCATAGGTAGATCCTGGTGTCCCAGACACGGTTACGGCAGGCGACTAAATCCACTTCCTTTCACGTGACCTGTTTTTTGCTCACTCTTGTTGTGTGTAGGTACCCTGGTAACGCTGCCAGTTTGTGATGTCGTGCCTGTTGTGACCTGTTCATTTTCTGTTAAGCTTGCTCAACTGACCAGGCCATTCCTGTCTGGTTCTGTGTAAGTAGCCCTCAGCAGAGTGTAAGCCGGTCAGTCAGGAGCAAGGTAGGACACAGCAATAAGAGTCACAAGGGCTCCGCGCCGACCTAAAAAAAACAGCACCACCAACCTTTGAAACACCACCACGAGCAAACGATGAAATTGCCTCTCGAACCGTATAAAAAGCTCCAACACAGTAGTACCCAAGATGCAAGAGGAATCGACTGGATGGCTGGGAATTCGAAACACTCTTTTTTCCGATCGTTCCCGTTTAGGTCTCTCGGATTGCATAGCAACTATGTAGCAAAATTATTTGGTTATGTGTCCTCTGTGCTTTGTGCGGCGAAAAAAACGGTACAGTGCACCGCAAATCAATCGGTTTCGTTCAAAGTGGGAAGTTCGATTGCCACCACAGACCATGTGTGCCATCCTATTGCTTTACGCAGGTGTACAGAGCAAAAAAATAGCACACTCAACAAGGTAACACCATTGGTGACGTTCAAAGCGTTACAATTCGAATCGGTTCCACATGCGAATGATCGATCGACACGCTAGTAAGCACTGCTAATCGAACCTCTAATAAAGTGACCAAAGGAACAGTAACTAAGTCATCATAGACATTAGAGTACGAAATATAATGCTTGAAAATGGAGAAAATGTCGATAACTAGGTTGACTACTCTGCGTCGCGACAAAACCGGCGACACGCGTGCAACTAACCTGCCGTTTCAAGCCAAACGACACCTTCAACAACAACCTTGGTTCCGGCCTCACAAGGTCCCAGAGGATCTGGTTCTGTTACAGTGGAAAGACCAGACGTAGAAGTGGCTGCATCAACACATGTGACCTGTCGGATGAAACAGAAACAGAAGCCTTTGCTCACAAGTTGTTGTTCTTGTGTGTCAATGAGAATAACTGTAAAAAAGAGATTAGGACGCGTCCAGAACTAGAATTTTGAGCGTGAGCACACACCCAGACTCTAACTGTTAAGTCTCACTCAAGGCCAACCAGTAATTACCACATCTGATTAAATTCAGATACCACCGTGCGTAAATCATCAAAATTTGGGATTTCACACACGAGACACACAGAACTTGAAAGTAAGCAAACTAACAAAAAACCTTTTCTGCTCGTATCACGACATGACTTCAAAACAATTTCAACCAATTCACTAGCTGCGCTCAGCAATATGTCCTTTCGTATTCATACATAAAATAAATGGCCAAGATGTGCACTTTAGTAAGATTTCTACACAAACGCAAGTGGTTGTTTTGATATGCTATTTGATGTGATGGGGTCTGTATTGTTGTGGTGTGAGCTGTACCCCGAAATCAGCTTCACATATACCTACCTGAATCAACCTAGTTATTGCTTCATAACAAATACAAACAATCGGGGCATAGATTGACAACAATCGATTGCAATCAGTAGAGTATAGGACTCCGTGTTCACTAACCATAATTGCATTCTTAACGAAGGAAATCAGCCGGAAGGTGACATGTACCATGAGAATCAAAGCAGCAATTGGACCGTCTAGCGTAAAAACATTAAAAATTAAAAACGGCAAGACGAACGGCCACCGTGCGATAGCTCTCTGTGGGGCGAGATTGCCCAAGTGGTTAGAGCGCGAATTCACTGACCGGAAGGCCCGTGGCTCGAACCCGACCTCTGTCTCTCGACCTCCCCTGTCTAGGCTTGGGCAACCTGACAGTATCCTAGCCCTTGTGCAACCTTCGGGTGGCATGGCAGTTAAACACCGAAAGGGCGCTCCAGCTGAACGGACGATAGCTCTGATGGGATAATTCGATGAACTCTTTTAGATCATTTCGCTCCAGTCTCTGTCGACGCTTTGGTGTACTTTCAACGGATGTGCGGATGACATTTCGACAGATGCTATAGTTTCAAAGCAGCGACTAAGTAAGTCTAACATCTGAACCGTTGCGCAATCGTTGCGATGGTATGGCCCAAAGGAGTGTCAGTCGAGCAGAAATTAAAGTTACAAGTTGGTCAAACAACACCTGGTGATGTGAGGTATGAACCCACTGCGTACTCTTGTCTAGTCATGGCGAGGAGTAACAATGATTCTCTCTCAGGCTATATTGGGCGAGATGGCTCAAGTGATTAGTGATTTACTGACCGAAAGGTCTGTGGTTCGAACCCGACCTCCGCCTCTCGATTTTCCCTGTCTAGGCTTGAGCAACTTGGCAGTATCCCTGCCCCCGTGCTTCCTTCTGGTGACATGGCAGCTAGGCACCGGAAGGGCGCTACAGCTGAACGCTTTTTTATATTGTCAAACGGCGGTAGTAACCACGATATACTGAGATTGTATCGCACGGGTAATGTTCCAGTCTAGTGACACTAAGGAATACCTGGACATGCCAACCATGGCTTTCACTACGCTGCACCTGTCTTTGCTACAGAATGATGCATTCGCCCACCGTGTTCACTGATAGACAGCCATGCACCGTGAATTACATTAGGAAAAAATTTGCCAGTTCAGTGCTCACGGGTATGGTTTGCATTGTGCGATTATGCTCTGCGTGTTGTTGTGTGGATTTATATCTGTTTCTGTCTGCAGGAAAGTGAGGCGGCACGGGCCGACGCGTTTAGATGGAAGTTCTGGGAGTTCTTGCCTTTTCAGAAGAGTCTGCTAAAAGCTTTCTGAATTCTCGATCGTTGCTAGGATTTTCCCAGCTGAACACTTGCATGCAGGAAAGCGGAAATAGATTATTCTCAAGTGCTCTGAGGCAAACACTGAGGGTGGTCTTTCCACGGGTTGAAACATCTGACCTCTATACGCCACACAAAGGGAATCCCCAATTATGACATCCCGTGCTTTGAGTTCATTGCCGGCTGGATCGTCCGGATAGGGCGTTTTGCTGCCAATAAAAGCCGATCTCTGCTGTTGACTTGACTGTGCTTCATGTGTACTCCAATCACAAGGGCATTTCAAACTTCTGCACGTGTTTTACCCTCAAACTGAAGCTGGACAGCTAATATTATATTCAAGGTACTTGCCGGCTAATTATGGTCTTCAACAGCTGCGACTTCGGTGAAACTTTGACAGCCTATCTACAGAGTGATCGGCGTGCTCACTTAAATTTCCGATCAAGTAAATTTCGTTGCAATGTATCCTTTGCCTGTTCTTATCTCCCTGTAAGCACATGGATTCACTTCATCGGTGACTCACATTCTAAGCTGCAAATGATTCAATCGAATTGTTATATCGTCCGTATCAAGAGCCTAAATCATCAAAGCGTGCTAATCAACACCAAGAACATGTCAATCGTCACACTGAGTAGCAGAATCCGGTGTACAGTGCATCTGAAAGGCAGTCATGGATAAATATCGATAAGATCACGAAGTTGCCAGGGTGTTCGAAAATCATCAGCACGCAAAATGAACTTTTTGGTCCTCGGCACGTACCAAATCAAAACTCAGTGACTAGCTTGTCAAAGGCAAGCGGGAAAAATCAAGATGTTACGCACACTGCAGTGAACTGCAGTGTCTATGGATCCTGCAATTGCAGACTATCCATCGTTTTTTCGCAGTTCACAGTTCACCAGAGCATGTTTCCATAAGTGGCGTCCTCACTGTCTACTTATCAATGTACTTACACTCTTCGCGAGCCACTGTGTTCACAGTCAGAGAATAATCCCTCACCAGATCTACTGTTTGCGACCGATACGAGCAAAGGTCATTTCAACCCGGGTAATTTAACTGTGCATGCGTCATCGATCTAAGTTGCCTGATCACAAACAGTGCCCAGTACAAGGGTGAACACGAAGCTCACACACGTGGAAATCTGCGGCGCCAGAACGGTACATCGGCAGTCGATGAGCATTAGCGAAACTCATGCGTGTGAATGTCAAAACAAGAACTCACCAACCTAACTAACTTGGCTTTCTACTGTTAGAGGCGGTAAGGATGGTGGATATGACTGGTGAAACCTTATAAACATATGAGTGAAAACTGTGGATAGGGACGATCTCAACTTTATGGGAAACCTAGCCCTTTGATTCGGGCCTGAGATACAAAGAAAGACTACGTGCCCAACTATTCTGACCAATAAAGTTTACAGAAAACACGTATTCTGGATGATTGAAGAACTGGAACAGCTTGGGTAGATCGCATTAGAAGGGTAAAGACAACACGGCCTCCAAGATGAAGGATGTCAAACGAGTAACTGATATTGGAAACCGGCTCAGGTGTTTCTCTGTTGAACAGTGGTCATTTGCGAACTGTGAGTGAAGAAATGATTGGGGGCGAACAAGTTTTTGTTTTTACCCGACCAGTCATGCAAAACCACGGTGACCTTTGGAAGAAAAAACGTAAGTACAAAAGATGCGGATGTAAATTCGTAGGTGTTGCTTACAAGGGGCGCTGACTGACTGACCGGCAAATTGATAGCACTGCATACACACACACCGTTAATAACAATAATAAATGGTTCGGAACTTTGATAATCCATGAATTTGTGGCTAAGGAACGCACTGCGAACAGTGTATTAAAAACTGATCCTCCACGTATATCATGTTTGTTTCCGCAGGGCCCCAACCCTTCCCCTCCCCCCCAAAAAAGACAGAACCCTCCCGTTGTCTAGCCCCATTGTTGATCTAGCTTAACGCAATCACAAAGTTAGTCGGGATCTATGTAGTTTGAGCAGACAAATGTTTTTCCTATAAGAAATGAGCACGAATACCATAGGGTATGTGATGTCATTCAGGCGCCACTATAGAACGCCCACAATCACAGACAGTTTAGCTATTAAAGAGCAAGTAAACAGATAACTAGCGTCGCACCAGAAATTGTAGCAATCATCGAATTCCAGAGTTGTGTTGAACCATTCGCTCCAAAGATGTTTGGTAAACAATCGGTGGATTTGTTTCTGGACAACGTTTCGCTTTTGACACAAAAGCTTCGTCAGGCCAAGTGAGCAGGTTGATTGGGCTTTAAAGCAGTCAGGGAACCAATCCGTGAGATTTCTTATGACTAGCCGACTTGATCAGTGCTGGTTGTTGGTTAGTGGGGATGACTAACATTTACGATAGACTGGTTGGGGGAGGATTTGTCTTGATGATGAACCCGGATTCTTCGTCCTTGCTTTTTCAGTCTAGGACAGCTTAATGGAAAATTCCTCTTGGGGTCGTTCACAGATTTCGCTCACCTGTGTTCGTCAAAGGGGGCCGGGTCAATTGGTTTGGGGATAGGGGTGGATAATTGGGTCTAACGATACTTGGACTATGTACTTTTAGACCCAGACCATTCCGCTGATAACTGCACACCGCCTCGTGTCATCTCGATAGTTTACCAAACCTCTCTGAAACGATGACTTCCCAATCGGTCCCAAAATTTTTCCATTTCATTCGCTCCAACCTTTATGTACAATGAACACCGTTTGCAAAAGACAAGTGACCTGCAAACAACGTCTGTATGAACGAAAGAAAAGACTGCAATTCTCCGAAGGTATACCCCCCTGTCCACACATGAAGACCACATATTCAATTTGGAAAAACTGATAATCATGTCACGCGGAAATAAAAGACAGAGTGAACATTTTTTAAAAGTACGGTACTTCAGATCGGATTTAGCAACTGGCATGTCCCACTGGACCCAACCTACCCCTCATTGCAGCGGAACAAGCGGACAACCAACCAAGAAAAAGGAACCCTGGAAGACACACCATTAAACATAAGCGTGGAACCAAGAGAGAGAGAGAGAGAGAGAATAGAGCCACTCAGTGATTCAGAACAAATGGAAGGAGCCGAGCACAAACATACATGCATATGAGCTTCTAGATAAGCAGATCAATGGACCGACCAACACAGCCGCCCAACCAAACAACAA